CCAGGGGGGGGGCGCAAATCATGGCCGGCGGCACGTGCGCGGCCCCAAAACGGGGCCAGGGACGCACTGAAAGAAGGAAGGGCGCCCCTGGGGAGAGATCAGGGCCCCCGCCATGATGTCCACCCCCCTAAACAATTACTCAATATGAATACTACTCTCCCTCTTCCCCTGATGACGGAATGAGAGTAATTAGCCGACCCCCCCCGCGCACTGCTTTATTTACACAGAGGTTTCCCTGGAGTTGGGTTTTCGCCTGCATTGTTTCCGAATTGTTTTTCCCACGTGCTGCTCTCGCTGAAGCGCCGGCCTCACTTTCGGGCCCCACTCGTTCCGAATCGTGCTCCCGCTGCAGCGTGGCATCATTTCCGCCGGCGCCCGGGCTGCACGTCCGAGCCGGCGCCCAGGCCGGCGCTCGGGCCGGGTCCGGAGCCGGTTCCGGCCGCCGCCGGAAAATCGAGTTCCAAGGCGGCGCCGAAAAAATGCCATTCTAATACACATTTTTCTTTTGAGCATGCTGAATTTCTGCTTCGGGCGCCCGGGAGGCCTCCGGGGCCGATTCCGACGACTGGGCCGGCGCCCGAGCCGGCGCCTGGGCCGGACGCCCGAGCCGGCGCCCGGGCCGGCGCCCGGGCCAGGTCCGGATCGTTTCGGCCGCCGCCGGGAAATCGAGTTCCGAGGCGCCGCCGAAAAAAAGGCCATTCCAATACACATTTTTCTTTTGAGCATGCTGAATTTCTGCTTCCGGCGCCTGGGAGGCCTCCCGGGCCGATTCCGACGCCCGGGCCGGCGCCCGAGCCGGCGCCCGAGCCAGACTCCCGAGCCCGCGCCCGCGCCAGCCCCCGGGCCGAGTCCGGAGCCAGTTCCGGCTGGCGCCGGAAAATCGAGTTCCGAGGCGGCGCCGAAAAAAGACCATTCCAAGACAATTTTTTCTTTTGGAAATGCTGACTTCCTGCTCCTGGCGCCTGGGAAGCCTCCCGGGCCGATTCCGGCGTGCTGCCGCTCGTTCCGACTCGTGCTCCCGCTGCAGCGCTGGCTTCATTTCCGCGTTTACGCTCGTTTCGACTCGCGTTCCCGCTGCAGCGCTGGCGTCATTTCCCGTGCCATGCCACGGCATGCAATGCAACGCTAGGTTGATACTACGCTTTGCGGTGCTCTTCTACGCCATGCCACGCCGCGCTCTACAACGCATCACGTACCCTTTCGGGATCATTGCCCTGCTCGACATCCGACTGTGCGAGTAGAAAGGGGATCTGCGCCATGGTAAGGGATGGGAGGGAGGGGTGGGATGTCAGATATGACGCGAGCGCACCTAGCTTGTCATCACCCCCCTCTTCGCCGCCCCCGACTGACACCCTTTGCGCCCCCGCTTGACGGGCCTATTCTACGAGGCCCAGGGCGCGCCTTGGGGTGGGGGAATCGCGGCTCCTTCGCAGACGATGCGCGTCTCACCGGCAGGTGCCGTGCGTGGGCCGCCCCGGAAACTTAAAGCCAACCCGAATCACCAGGACGCGCGATCAGGGTGCAAGGGCCTTGGAAGGCCGCTTCGAAGCCTTACGAGCGGGGCGCGGCCAGCGAAAGTGGCCAAGGATGGACCGAGGAGGCAAGGAATCCTTCCTCCTGCTCCTCCTCCTGCTCCTGCTCCTCCTCCTCCTCCTCCTCCTCCTCCTCCTCCTCATCATCATCATCATCATCCTCATCCTCCTCATCCTCATCCTCCTCCTCCTCCACCTCCTCCCCCCCCCCCGCCTCCTCCTCATCCTCCTCCTTCTCCTCCTCCTCCTCCTCCCCCTCCTCCTCCTCTTCCTGCTCCTCCTCCTCCTGCTTCTCCTCCTCCTCCTCATCCTCCCCTCCTCCCTCCTCCCTCCTCCCTTCTCCTCCTCCTCCTCCTCCACCATTCCTTTTCCAATGTAAAAACTTCCCCCCGTCACACCCGAAGCCAGTTTTCAAGGCGGGCTGGGCGTTTCCCCTGAGACTTCCTCATCGCTTATGACTCTGAAGCTTCAAACTGGCAACAGTTTCGCAGATGGAGAGCGGGTGGTTTTCAAAATGGGCCTCTCGTTTTAGCGCGGCGCACATTCGTTCTAAATAATTACAAAAGCTTCACGGATTGAGGGCGGGTGGATTTCAGAATGTGGAACTCGCCTTAGCGCGGCGCACATTCTCTCTAACATTTGAAAGAACTTCACGGATTCAGGGCGGGTGGTTTTCAAAATGTGGCTCTCGCCTTAGCGCGGCGTGCATTCGTTTTAAACCCTTGCAAGAGCTTCACGGCTTGAGGGTGGGCTGTTTTTTTTCCAAATGTGACTCTCCCATAATGCTGCGCACACTCATTCTTAAAACTTGCAAGAGCTTCTCGGATTGAAGGCGGGTGGTTTTCAAAATGAGGTTCTCGCCTTAGCGCGGCGCGCATTCATTCCAAACACTTGCATGAACTTCGCGGATTCAGGTCGGGTGGCTTTCAACAGTGGCTCTCTCCTTAGCGCGGCGCACATTCGTTCTGACAGTTTGCAAGCGCTTCACGGATCGAGTGCGGCTCCTTTTCAAAATGTGGTTCTCTCCCTAGCGCCGCGCAAATTCTTTGACAACGTTCGCAAGGAGCTCACGGATTCCCATCATCAACGAACCAGAAATGGTGTTTCGAAAAGATCAGGAAGACGCGGGCGCAACAGTCAGGTTGATTCGCTGTGTTGAAGTCCCAAGAACGGCATTCTGGCACGATTCAAGATCGTCCAGACGCAACAGCCAGGTTGATCCGTGGCGTTGGAATCCCGAGAACAATGTTTTGGCATGCTCCAGGGTTTTCGAACGGTTGTCTTCCAACGAGGCAGTTCCTTCAATGGAAATGAACCGTTGTAGGGGCCTCTGACTAGAGAGTTTGGAGGGAGGAATTGTTCCAACTTCGTTGATGGCTCTTGGATTTATACTGGTCCTCCTCCTCCTCCTCCCTCTCCTCCGCCTCCTTCTGCTCTTCCTCCTCCCTCCTCCTCCTCCTCCTGCTCCTCCTTCTCCTCCTCATCCTCCTCTTCTTCCTCCTCCTGCTCCTCCTCCATTCCTTTTCCTTATGAATAACCTTTCGCTGTCGCACCCGGAAACCAATTTTTGGGCGGGCCGGGAGTTTCGCCTAAGTGTTCCTCGTCGCTTATGACTCTACAGCTTAAAATTGGCAACCGTTTCACAAGTGGAGGACGGGTCGTTGTCAAAATGTGGTTTTCGCCTAATGCGGCGCACATTCGTTCTAACAAATGGCAAAAGCTTCACGGGTCGAAAGCGGGTGGTTTTCAAAATGTGGTTCTCGCCCTAGCGCCCCGCACACTCGTTCTAAATAATTCCAACGAAATCATGGATGCAGGGCGGGTGGTTTTCAAAATTGGTCTCGCCTTAGCGCGGCGCACATTCATTCGAACAGTTTGCAAGAGCTCCACGGATTGAGGGCGGTTCCTTTTCAACATGTGGTTCTCGCCACAGAGCCGCGCAGATTCTTTGACAACGTTCGCAAGGAGCTCACGGATTCCCATCATCAACGTACCAGAAATCAACGTATCATCAACGATACAGGAAAGGAGACGCGGGCGCAACAGTCAGGTTGATTCGCTGTGTTGAAGTCCCAAGAAAAGCATTCTGGCACGATTCAAGATCGTCAAGACGCAACAGTCAGGTTGATCCGTGGCGTTGGAATCCCGAGAACAATGTTTTGGCATGCTCCAGGGTCTTCGAACGGGTATCTTCCAACGGGGCAGTTCCTTCAGTGGAACTGAACCGTTGTAGGGGCCTCTGACTAGGGAGCTTGGGGGGAGGGTTTGTCCCAACATCGTTGACGGTTCCTGGGTTTATACTGGTCCTCCTCCTCCTCCTCCTCCTACGCCTCCTCCTGCTCTTCCTCCTCCCTCCTCCTTCTCCTCCACCTCCTGCTCCTCCTCCTGCTCATCCTCCTCGTCTTCCTCCTCCTGCTCCTCCTCCATTCCTTTTCCTTATGAATAACTTTTCGCTGACGCACCCCGATGCCAGTTTTAGGGCGGGCCCAGAGTTTCGCCTAAGACTTCCTCATCGCTTATGACTCTGAAGCTTAAAAATTGGCATCAGTTTCACAGGTGGAGAGCGGGCCGGTTTCAAATGTGGCTCTCGCCTTAGCGCGGCGCACACTCGCTTTAAACGTTTGCAAGAAGCTCCAGTGATTGAGGGCGGGTCGTTTTCAATAAGGTAGTTCTTGCTTTAGCGCGGCACACATTCGATTCAAACATTTGCAGGGGCTTCACGGATTGAGGGCGGGTCGTTTTCACAATGTGGCTCTCGCCCAATGCGGGCACATTTGTTCTAACAAATTGCAAGAGCTTCACGGGTCGAAAGCGGGTGGTTTTCAAAATGTGGTTCTCGCCTTAGCGCCCCGCACATTCGTTCTAAAAACTTGCAAGAGCTTCACGGATTCAGGGCGGTTGATTTTCAAAATGTGCTCTCGCCTTAGCGCGGCGCACATTCGTTCTAACAGTTTGCAAGCGCTTCACGGATTGAGGGCGGCTCCTTTTCAAAATGTGGTTCTCTCCCTAGCGCCGCGCAAATTCTTTGACAACGTTCGCAAGGAGCTCACGGATTCCCATCATCAGCGAAGCAGAAATGGTGTTTTGAAAGGATTCAGGAAGACGAGGGCGCAACAGTCACGTTGATTCGCTGTGTTGAAGTCCCAGGAAAGGCGCTCTGGCACGACTCGGGATCGTCAACACGCAACAGTCAGGTTGATCCGTGGCGTTGGAATCCCGAGAACACTGGTTTGGCAGGCTCCAGGGTCTTCGAACTGTTGTCTTCCAACGAGGCAGTTCCTTCAATGGAACTGAACCGTTGTAGGGGCCTACGAAGAGGGAGTTCGGAGGGAGAGTTGATTCCAACATCGTTGGTGACTCTTGGGTTTACACTGGTCCTCCTCCCTCCTCCTCCTCCTCCTCCTCCTCCTCCTCCTCCTCCTCCTCCTCCTCCCCCTCCTCCTGCTCCCCGCTGCCCTGACTGCGTGTTTCTGCGAAGTGCAGTCTCTGTGCAGGTCTGAAATGGCCACCGCGGCAGCGAACGCGCCGCCTCGGCTCAGAGGTGCCCCTGGACCTCTCCGGGCGGGGGGCGCCAAGGGAAGGCTCCCGGGCAGGGATCAAAGACAGTGCCTCCCCCCATTCGGTTACACGCAAGAGTGACCCTACGCAGAAGTGACCTTCGGTGCGCGGCCTGAGGGTGCAGAGGGGTGGCCAAACCCAAACGCGCAGGCTGGTTCTGGGGGCGCCCCAGTGGGGCGGCGCCAAAAGGTCACTGCGAAGGTCGCTCTTACGCGTAGCCGACCAATGACCATCAGGCTGGACAAAAGGCAGGGTTACGGTGCGGAACTTTTGCCTAGCGTGTCGCGGCGGAGGCCCCAGCGACACGCTGTTGTCCTGCGAGCGGGATGGCGTGTCGCTCCGCTCTGCGGGGCCAGAGGCTGGGAAAGTCTCGGAGCGTTGACGCCTGGGGAGTGGGACGTGATTAGCGTGCCACGCTGAAACGTGGTATGACCAGCCTGGAACAGATCCCTATCCCTGGGCACCTCCTCATCACGATGCCAATCTTAGGGGTTCCCTTATCTTTTGAGGGCGAATCCGTAAGATTGTCATCGCCTTTTGGCGTGTCAATCTTAGGGATAGGGATACGCTCCAGGCTGGTAATGGTAGGCCAGAACTGGCGGAGCGACACGCGAAGCGACATTTGACGGCCACAGCCGAGGGCCTAGGCGTGGGATTAGCGAACCAGCCCACGCAGCTGATTTTCCCGGCGCCTCCCAGCGGCGCGGCCGAAAAAAAAGAGAGCTGAGAAGACGCTTGGCCGCGGGGCCGAACGCGGCGGGGCGCAACCGTTTTCGCTATCACCCGTCTCCTAATCCCACCCGCTTGTCCGGCCCGAGACCCTGGGCGCGATTGGAAGTGAAAGCAGGGGCCGCAGCAGGAGAAGGAGGAGGTGTTGTTGGTGGCGGAGCCCTCGGTGGCCTTCAAGTCAGCTGTCGAACGCTGGCTCCTGGGAAGATAACCAACTACCCCTGAAAATAGCACCCGGGGAATGATAGTGTTCGGGGTCCAGGGGGGTAATAAACGAGTTGTCCAGGCAAGTCGTCGACGACGACGACGACGACGACGACGACGACGACGACGACGACGGTTTCCTCTTGCTCTGAGATCCTTGGCCATTGCTCTTGCTTTTAAGGAAGCGAAGTGGAGACGACGTCGCATCTCCCCCGCCGTTGCCTCCAGCACCCCCGCGCCGTCCATGATGGGCGAGGGGCCCATGCAGCGGGGGTCCCTATGCTCGGCACGGAAGTCTGTCTCGGGGTGCTAGGGGGGGGTTTTAACCCTCAGCCAGGGGCCGTGGCGCCGCGCATCACTGCAACAGGCTTCGGCTGGAGGCGAGCACGGGTCGGAGGCGAGCGAGGGGGCGAAGTGAGAGGGAGAAGCTCTTCTCAAAAGGCGGCGGGACTTCTCAGAAGCCCTCGCGCCTTCGGAGACTTGTTTTGGTATGTCTTCGTGAAGGCTTTGAAAACATCTCAGAAGGCCGGGGGACGTCCGAACCTTCTGAGAAGGCCTTCTCCTCCTCACTTCCCCCCCTCGCTCGCCGCCGCCCAGGGGGGCGAGGGGAAGAGATCGTCGTGTTACCAAAGATCTACCGCTTACGTTCCTGAGGCCGCGTGTCCGCGGCACGGAGATAGAAGGCAGGGCGCACGGGAGCGAGAAGCCAAGCGGGAGAGGAGCAGGCACCGAGGGAGAGGAGCAGCGAAGCCACGCGAAGAGAAGGGACGGGGCCTCGGGCTGGCGCTAGACTGGGCGAGGGCGAGACAACGTTTGACATCATCTGTGGCTGTCATCTCTGTGCAACGCTATTGCTTTGCTTGCCCCATGGCTGGGTCCTCCACCAAGTGGTCATGTCCGTTACTCATGGTTTATATGACATAGGACGCTGTGCGTAAAGTAGCACTGCAATGCATCATCATCCTGTGGAGTAGATTCCTGGCTGCCTCGGGAGACAAATTAACACCACTTTGCAAAACCGTTTACGCGGGAGCCCTGTGCCACTGCCGTGGTGGCAACAAGCCTCTGGTGCAGATCAACGTTTACGTGTTCGTCCTCTTCCAGTTGTTTGTGCACAAGCCATCAACCTTGCTCGAGCTTCGAACCCAGACACTCGATATTTGAAAGCATGAATGCTCCCATGCAAGTACCCTGAGCAATATCACGCTACATGGGAGTTGTACCGGTACCTGTCGACAACATGCGTGCATCAACCTTGGCACCAAAGACCAAAAAGGCGGGCCATTGCTGGGGGCATAGAACACATGTGCAAGCAATCACACGCCGTGCGTCCAGCCAGCCTGAGGCGGACACGCAATGGCAATGCATGACAACCGTTGTTGTGTCTGCGCTGTCCTTCTCGATTGTGACCTCCTCGGCGTTTGGATCGCGTGCTGGTTGCCTCGCACACAGAGCCGCGAGGTGGGTGTCAAAGATCGTGAGACAACCGCCCTAAGAAGGGGGAGGGGGGAAGACGAGACGACCGCCCGGAGGAAGATATGCTCAGGGATATGCTATCGCTGGGACAAGGCAGGGTCATAGGGGCTGCCTCAGAGGCTGGCAAGCTGCAACTGATTAGCTACGCTCTCGTGCGGAACGGTGAAAACAGCAACGGGACAAGACCTGCAACACCTCCGCTGTGACACTCGTGAAGCTCCACGCATGCACGCGCGTGAGATGAGATCACCCAACCATTTCCTCGACAGTTTGGGGCACGGCCAAATGATGATGGGCGTATGCCACGTGTGCTTAGCCTGCCTAGGAAAGTTCCGATCCAGGCCGAGTCACAAAGACGAGCCACCTGCTGCCACCTTCAAATGGATGAGGTGCGGTGGACGGCGATGAGAAATGACGAATACTTCAACCACACATGGGGTGACGGCAGCCAATCACCCCAATAGGTCCCGAAGTAACGAACAAGGGGAGCAGCACCAACGTGCAAGTGCTTGAAAGACAAGCATGCGTCCACAACGAAAGGGGCCGCAGCGGAGCACGATGGGGCAGCGGTATTTGCCTTGCTTGCCACGCAGGGCCTGGGCCAGGCTTGCCATCCTCGCCATGTTGCTCCACAGAGCTGCGCAGGACGCTGTTGGCGGCCATCTTGCGGCCGACGCCCACCAAGCAAGCGGCTGCAAGTGAACCGCGCCTTACCGCGGCGACCAAGGCCAACCCCACCGCGGTGCACGCGTCCGCCTCGTCGATCGCACGCCGCTGGGCCACCTCGTCGCTCACCATAGGTGTGCGCGCTTCGCGGCGGGCGTCAACCACCCGCCGCTGGAGGAGGAGGAGGAGGAGGAGGAGGAGGAGGAGGAGGAAAAGTAGCCTCCGAAGGAGGAGGAGGAGGAGGAGGAGGAGGAGGAGTTAAAGTAGCCTCAGGAGAAGGAGGAGGAGGTGGAGGAGGTGGAGGAGGAGGAGGAGGAAAAGGAGGAGGAAGAGGAGTGCTGCTGCGCCCCCGTCCCTCCGCAGGGCTCCCGATCGGCGGTGCCGGTTTTTGTCCGCGCCTGCACGGAAGAGTTCGGGCGTGGGCCGAGCACTGCCCCGAGAGGAGCAGGAGGAGGAGGAGGAGGAGGAGGAGGAGGAGGAGGAGGGGAGGAGGAGGAGGAGGAGGAGGAGGAGGAGGAGGAGGAGGAGGAGGAGGAGGAGGAGGGAGGAGGAGGAAGGAGGAGGAGGGGGGGAGGAAGAGGAGGAGGAAGAGGGGGAGGATCAGGACTTTGCTCGAGGATGCGGAGGAGGAGGAGGAGGAGGAGGAGGAGGAGGAGGAGGAGGAGGAGAAGGGAGGAGGGAGGATGTTTTGGACTGCAGGCGTGATGAACCAGGATCCCACGCCCTCCCCGATCCTCGCTGCCCTCCCCATTATAGGCAGCTGGACGGCAAACGCTGCATGCGGCGACTGATGACTCGCGGTGCCCGTCCGCGACACTCAGGAGGAGGGACGGAACGAGGGAAGGAGGAGAGATCCTGCTCTCGTGACAACCGTTTCCTCTGGACCAACAAGGCTTGAAGATCACGGGTGATTTTACTACAAATACCCCCCATATCCATACTGAAACCTCACAACCCTCCACAACAGGCAACCTGGCAAGCAATCGCTAAAAGGCGGCGACAAAATGGCTCAAGGCAGAAAAACTGGGCGGGGCGCTAGGGAGGAGGGGCGGAAGGAGGAAAGGGCATGGCTGAAATATGCCGAAACGAAGCGAGCATGGCCGGGACACAGACGACATCCTACGAACATCAGCAAGACAATAGGCCGCATGGAGGTACCACCGGGGGAATTGCCATACGGAGATGCTCTGCCGAGGCTTGGGCCATCCAGTCGGTCGGCGGGGGGGGGGAAGGAGCAGCATCGCACCCCCGCCCAGCACGAGCGACGGCAGACGGCGGCGACAGGAGGCGCAGTTATGTTATCATGGCGCCCCAGCGGGGAGAAGAAGAGCAGCGCTGCTTCCAGGGCCTCGTCCACGGCTGCTGGGACATGCCGGGCCGCTTCGAAAGCGGGCAGGAAGGAGGGACGGGAAAGAGGCGCGAGGCGAGGGAATGCAGGCCAAACGTCCGAGCACAGACTGCACTCGCAATCCTCAGCCTCCCAACGACGCCTTCCTCCTTCCAATGAGCAGCCTAGGGCTGTCGCACAGCGACGCCTGGGCGCTCATCTGCGCGCGCTCCTCCCTCCAATGAGCGCGATCAGCCTCTCTCGGCAACTTCAGTGAAAAGGAGTGCCAGGAACCGTTGACGAGTGTCTCGCG